ACACACACACACACACACACACACAGTTTTGAAAGAGCTCGAGAGCCCGTTGCACAATTTGTACATATTTAAAACATTATTTTAGATGCAGAAGCCAAAGCTTGCCACTAGTTAAAATTCATTTAAAGTTTTTTCGTGCGTTCTGAACAGAAGAGCTACGGCTCAGCTCATGAATATTAAGCACGCAACGTGACGTTCGCCCGATAGTCCTTTCCGATTGGCTAAATAGCCTGATAATTTGCATGGTGGAGGGTGGGCTCATAATAATATTACGCTACTTGCGCGGTGGTCTCTCCGGGAAGCAGCGTATACATTTGTTTATTTTATTAGAAAAATGCCATATACATAAGGTAAACAAGTGGTATACAAGTGGGCTCAATGTAAACCAAATGTTGCACATTTTATAAATGACTTTAAATTATATGTAAATCTCTTAGAACTTTCTCTGGTAGCTAATAATGTTAATTTGATAATGTGAATATGTAATACCTCATGTTCTTGTGGCATTGAATAATAAAGCATAAAAAAAATTATAATATATATATATGTATATATATATATATATATATATATATATAAATATATATATATATATATATATATATATATATATAATATTTTAACAACTCAGTGCCATGTTGTATCAGTGAAAAATTCAAATAAGTCATTTGTGTCAACACATCTGAAACATTCAAATAATAAAGTTATTTGTGTAAAAAAAAAAAAAAAGGTCTACGGCAGCGTCAGCTCTACCTAATTAATATTCATGAGCTCAGCCAGGGTCGCGTAGGATTGGCGCTGCGGCAGCACCGGAAGTGTTGCGTCACTGCGTGTGGGTGTGGGAGCAACTTTAGGAAACAAAGTGTCCTTCGCTTCAGAAGTACCTCACACTTAAACTCGTTCTCAGCTGGTTTGATATTTTCGAAAAAGAAAACCCGAGGAGATCAGCAGACGCTCACATCACTGACTTGGTAAGTGCGAATGTTATTGTAAAGCTTCTCACGACGTAAAACTCTCCAAGAGGTGATGTTAACTGTTTGATAACCTCTTGTCAACGCGTTTATTTAATTAAGACACATTGTGGCGTAGTGTATTCACGTATAAATATTCAATATGTAACACTGACCTCATATGCATCTTATGTATGTTGCGTGTACTGTATATATAGTGTAGTTATGTTAGTCATAATAATGTGTGTTAGTGATAAACAGCTGCTGTTCGTGGGTTTGTGTATCTGAACACACACGTGGCTCAATCCTAGATCAGATCTAGCCATCTCAGTTTAATCGAGACCTGAATCTGATCAAAAAGAAAATGGGGAAAGTTACTTTTAAAAGTAATGCATTACAATATTGCGTTACTCCCTAAAAAAGTAACTAATTATCTCTGTTACTTTTACGTTACTTTTGAGTTGCTTTTTAAATCTGGGCGGGGCTTGCTTGTTTGTTTTTAATATAAAAAATGTAAAAGCCCCTTCACACCAAAAATGTAATGAATGCGCCTCAGGCTGAAGAAAATGTAAATTCACGTCTGTACAGTAGAGGGCGCCGCTCATCGAATTGCATGAAGAATATGATGCAGGAGAAGAAAGTTCAACACTATTCAGCAATAACAAAAATAAAACACAAACGTGGGATTTTTGCTTATTAGTATGGTTGAATTTGATCATTGAAGGTCAGCAGCCAGCAAAGACACTGGTTAATAAAACTGGATTAAATACATAAAGGATATTTGTGTTATTTAACATATTTATTTATTGCAGGTTGGTGTCATATTCTGAGTTTGCATTTCAGTGTTTTTATTCATTTTGAGAAATACTGAATCTGATTTTGTGCAAGTGAGATGAGTAAATGCATGTCGACATTTACTGCAGAACTACAGTATACCATATTCTTTATTTTCTTTTTATAATAGTTTTTTTTATATATATATTTTTTTTAATATATTAAATGTAAAAGCCCCTTCACACCAAAAATGTAATGAATGCGCCTCAGGCTGAAGAAAATGTAAATTCACGTCTGTACAGTAGAGGGCGCAGCTCATCGAATTGCATGAAGAATATGATGCAGGAGAAGAAAGTTCAACACTATTCAGCAATAACAAAAATAAAACACAAACGTGGGATTTTTGCTTATTAGTATGGTTGAATTTGATCATCGAAGGTCAGTAGCAGTAAAAAGTAATGCGTTACTTTACTAGTTACTTTTAAAAAGTAATCTGATTACTTGTAATGCCTCACCCCCAACACTGGGAAGAAGTCACCTGGGAATTTACCAGCCTCACCTGTGGAAGTACACTGCTTCACTCCCAGATCAGGTTACCTGTCAGGAATGTCTGGTTTTGGGATAATTTCCCTGCTGAATGATCCAATTTCCATTCTTTCTTGCTTAACTGGGGAAATACTGTAAGTAGCGTGTAAGACGTATGTTTAGGACTCAGAATTGAGCTATTCTTTGAATCAATTTACCGTGATCACGATGATATTCTGAATTTGACACCCTTTGTACAAGTTTGACTCAAATGTTCAAGGAACATTTCAACCTCCAAAAATGTATGTTGTTGTTGTTGTAATTTTCTCACCTCACGTCATTCCAAACCTGTTATTTCTTTCTTCCTTTTTTTCCTGCAAAATATCCATGTTTTTCCATGCAATTAAAAGGCAATTAATTTCATCAGATGTCTTTAACATCATACTTCAATAATGTTAATTCACTTTGGCCAAGAATATTTAATGTCACTTACATCAAACTTGAGACATGTCTTAATGCACCATATTTGAATGTCTGCAAATTTGAGAGTGCTTTTTAAAGCTTTATATATATATATATATATAGTTCCTGTGGCTCAGTGGTAGAGGGTTCGATTCCCAGGGAACACACATACTGGTAAAAAATGTATAGCCTGATTGCACTGTAATCTTAATGCACCATATTTGAATGTCTGCAAATTTGAGAGTGCTTTTTAAAGCTTTATATATATATATATAGTTCCTGTGGCTCAGTGGTAGAGGGTTCGATTCCCAGGGAACACACATACTGGTAAAAAATTTATAGCCTGATTGCACTGTAAGTCGCTTTGGATAAAAGCATCTGCTAAATGCATAAAATTAATTAAATATATATATATATATATATACACATACTTATATTGAATATTATACTTGATATATACTTATACTTGAATATCAGTCAGTTTCACATGCAAACCTTTTATATAACTTAAGAAGACTTGGAATATACTCCACAAGTGTGTATTTTATGAGCTTTATTGCCCCGTTCACTTTCGTTGCATGCAAAGCAGAAGAACATTCTGCAAATTTGTGATTTGTGTTGCATGGAAAAACATTTGGAATTTGGAACATGAGAGTGAGAAATGTTTAAATAATTCCTTAAATCTGTCCTGAGAAGAATTTTCCACAAATCTCAGATCATTTAAATGGGCTTATCGGACTTTCCTGCCTGCTCTAGAGAGTGCAAATGAAATTAACACAGACTCAAGTCAAGTGTGTGTGTGTGTGTGCGCGTGCGCGCGTGTTAAGTAGAGTCTTGGCAGGGCTGGGAATGACAGGACAGTCACATGACAGGATGCCAAGAGCACATGAGCACCAGATGATGGTTATTAGATGAGCCTGATGTTTAATCTTACGGTCCACATCCTTCAGAAAGCCCAAAAAGAGCCTTTATATAAGCTGTCAGTGGGACTGGAGTGTGAATGACAAAAATCACTCTCGCGCTTTGGTGCGAGTCGTTATTTTGTTAATGAAGAATGTTTTCAGCTCCAAAATCCAGAGTTTCCCAACTATTATGACTTTATGGTGTTGTTCATGTGCTTGTAAATATGATCTTTCTGACATGACTTCAACGCACAAGTATCTACAGACCACAGACTCTTTTCTGGCTAGACTGAAGGAAACTTTCCTAGATTAAAGTTCAGCCAGCTCAAGTTTTTATTGTTGTTGTTTTTTTTTGTTTTGTTTTTTGTAGCATGCATCATTCATGCATCACTGAAAGGTTATAGCTAAAATGTGAGTATCCAAGAGACTAAAGAAATCCTCTTCTTGTTACGTTTCTCACATCAGGTCAAAGGTTATGAGGTTTTTTAGGTATGCACAGCAGTTTTGTCTTTCACGCATACAGCTTGAGAAGAAGGAAGCGGACAAAGAAAAAAAAACAGCTTGTCAGAGCTCTGCTGGGAATGTTTGATAAAAGCCTGCGTCTTCATCAGGGCTGTTTTTGTTGGACGGGAAGCTGAACTCAGAGCATTTCGGTGAGCTCTTGCACAAGGTTGGTGATTGTTGAAGGATATGTAGATGTGTCTGACTGAAATGAAGGCATCAGCCGGTCTTCAGAAGTTCACATAGTGTCAAATTACCATCAGAAAATGCAGCCGAACACTCACCGCTTGTGTCTAACACTGAGATGTAACACTGTGTTCATGCTTATATAGCACATAAAGACAAGGTTGTTTTTGCAAATAGGTACACTTTCCAAAAAGTGAAAACTCTTTCTGAGCATCTAATTTCTCGCGATTTTTCTGTAGCTGTAATAAACTTCATTATTTACGGAAAAACACAAACACAAAAAACATAAGTCACGTTTAGGAGTTGCATGTCTCGAAATGATCCTTTTACAATAAGAGTCTTAAAGGTGAGCAGATTTCAGTGTGATTTTGTATAGCACTGCACAACTAAGATCAGATGTTGCATGCACTTAAAAACCATGCAAAACAGGTTCCAGTAGTGATAAACCAATGCACTGGCCAATATTTGTCCATTTTGAGGTTATATGAGGCATTGGTTTTAATATACCTGGTTAGATCTTCTCAGTAGCAGATCTTCTCGTTTATCTCAGTTGCTCGCTTAATTTTGCGATAGCAGTGTCTCTTTGTCGGACATGGTATTTTCAGACTACCAGCAAATGAATGTTAATGGATAATATACATTTTTAGTGAAATAAGTAAATACTGTGTTAAATAAATTATTTAAATTCACCACATTTAAGTGCATACCATTGAATTGTTTTATACACTACCGTTCAAAAAGTTTGGGTCTTTTTAATATTTTTGAAAGAAGTCTCTTCTGCTCACCAAGACTGTATTTATTTGATCAATAATACAGTAAAAACAATTACAATCTAAAATAGCTGTTTTCTGTGTGAATATATTTTAAAATGTAATTCCTGTGATGCGCAGCTGTATTTTCAGCATCATTCCTCCAGTCTTCAGTGTCGCATGATCTTCAGAAATCAGTATAATATGCTGCTTTGCTGCTCAAAAAACATTTCTGATTATTATCAGTGTTGAAAACAGTTGTGCTGCACAATATTTTTGTGGAAACTGTGATACATTTTGTTTTTCAGGATTCACAGATGAATAGAAAGTTCAAAAGAACAGCATTTATTTAAAATAGAAATCTAGTTTTGTAACGTTATAAATGACTTTACTGTCACTTTTGATCAGTTTAATGCATCATTCTTACTGACCATTCTTATTCTTCTTATCTGCATCAACAATGGAAAATCATATTTTGGACGACCACTAGACATGCTCATATACATGCTGTTACTAGTTTGTTAAATGCATTTCTAACTAGTTTGTGATCCTTTAGTTATACAGTATATCATCGTGACAACTAGAAGTTTTGCTGCGTGTAAGATAGCAAATCTTCTAGATAAACAGTTTCACTGAACGTTTCCTCCAAGACACGCCATAATGAAGTGACTGATTTCATCTGTGATAAACACTGAAATGCATTCTGGGTAATCTTGTTCCTGAGACCAAAGCATTAATGTCAGTGGTAAGATTGACTGCAATACTTGTAACTCTGTTGACTCTAGTTCAGCTGTGAAGCCAGTAAAACTGTTATTAAAATAGCTGTCAGACCTGAGGTGATGCATGTGCTCTTTCTAGTATACATATATATGTGTGTGTGTGTGTGTGTGTAAAATAATTTCTGAAGAATCATGTGACACTGCAGACTGGAGTAATGATGCTGAAAATTCAGCTTTGCATCACAAAAATAAATTGCATCTTTCTTAACATATATTCACATGGAAAACAGTTATTTTAAATTGTAATGATATTTCACAATTTTACTATATTTTTTTACTTAAAAAAAAAAGCATCTTTATATATATATATATAGTGTATATACTAGGGCTGTCAGTTTTGTTAACGTAATTAGTTATGAAAAATTATGCGATTAACATTTTAACGCACTGGCCCCGCCCCCAGACCTCTACCTCATCTTACATTTCATAGTTGACAAATATCATGCAGAGCAACAACTTCATAAATGCCATTATGCCCCAAAATTCAAGATATCCGGAGTGTAAATGTGATCTGTTTTTGCTCAGTTTTGCCAACAAAAATATTACCTATAAAGCCACAGCAGAACTGTTGCGCATCTCCGAGCAAGCGGTGTTTAGTTTCTGAATGAATCCGCGTTTTGAACTAATCGTGTGAATCAATGAATCAAAGGCCCATTCATAAAGAGAGTCGTTTACTTCATTCCTGAATGAATCAGCCGTTCGAATGTATGAAAGACTCATAAAGACATTTGCCGCCACTTGCTGGCATTTTTAGTTTCTTATTTAGAGTAATATTTCATTAAAAAAAGGGGGTAAAATGAGGGGGAAAAAAAACTTTAAAGCAATAGTTCACCCAAAAAATGTTAATTATGTCATGATTTACTCAAACCTGAATGACTTAGGCTACTTTCTTTTGTGTAACAAAGTTATTTTGAAGACTGTTGGTAACAAAGCAGTTTTGGTTATCAATAACTTCCATTGCATGAAAAAAAACCCCTGACATGTTTCTCAAATTATCTTATTTTATGTTCCATAGTTTATGTTAGCCTAAACGTTTGTTTAATAAACGTTTTAATAAATTTGATGTTGATTCAAATAAAATATTTCTTTCTAAAGCTACTATTTATAATGACTAATTAATACTTTCTCATTTAACACAACAATAGCATTAAATACCCCCAAAAGATTATTTTCACAGCCAAATGTAATTTGCGATTAATTAGATTAATCAACACATTGTGCAATTAATTAGATAAAAAATTTGAATCGACTGACAGCCCTAGTATACACACATATTTTATATATCTGTATAAACACACACACACACGTGTATAATATATACATATATTAGTGCTGTCAAATGATTAATCGCGATTAATTGCATACAAAATAAAAAATTTAGTTTGCAAAATATATGTGTGTGTTCTGTGTATATTTATTATGTATATATAAATACACGCATACAGTATATATTTTGAAAGAATTAGCATGTGTTTACATGTCTATATTTATTCATATAATTTATATTATAAATAAATATATTTAATATATAAACGTAACATATTTTTCTGAAATATATATATATATATATATATATATATATGCATGTGTGTGTATTTATATGTACATATATTATGTAAACAAAAACATCAATCCAGGTGCTTGGGTCGGTCCCAGACGTTAAGCTGCTTATGGTCCGGATGGTGTTTAGTGCTGCTACGTGAAAGAATGTGGCCGTTTGTTCGAGTTTTTATGCTCTTTCTGCAGTCATATGATCAGCTTTAATACGTTCTGAGAACCCAGCCATCGACGGACGCTTTCCTCTCCCTGATTCTGAGAACGTGTCAAGACAAGATGTGTACGAGGGCGTTATGAAATCATAGAGTAGGTTTAGAAGCGCTCGTACTATTAAACTTGCACATAACTTCATCTCACAAAGAAAGAGCCTTCATTGAGGAACTTTCTTTGATCTTGTGAGATGTGCTGTCAAAACTTACTGTAATTTTTTAAGGGCTTAAAACTTCCTTTTGCAAAACTTTGTGAGCCCAGATTACAATACGTTGACTTCTTCACAATAAGAGAACAGAAACAAAAAGAAAAGAACCTTGGTGCCTGATAAGACTTAACAAGCTGTCATCACACAGTGTCTTAAAATAATACTTCTGCACCAAGCATTACAATATTGTACTGACAGATAAAAATAGAGCATGACAACATTTCAAAGCCTACAATGACTGATAATGATTGTCTCTAGTGCAACCTCTGAGTTAAATATTATAGGTTATGAAACACTTAATTTTTAAGTGATGAATGTCTCTGTGTTGTAGTCTTAAGCTACAGTGAAAAGAAACTTGAGTTGATAAATGTGAGTGGAAATAAAAGCCATTGTGTCGATGCATTCAAGTATGAAAAGCTGCTTTTTCAAAGTCTGTTTCCTCATGTAGGCTCCGGGATTTATGGACTCCCATGATCAATGACAAAAAAGAGGTTTCAGAAGCATATTTACTGTTCTGGAATAGAAATGCAATACTACAGCTCTAGTCTCAAATTCTTTTTTTTTGTTGTTTCCTGTTACTGATTTAGCACTGTTGCATCAATGCAAATGCCTGTCTGTCTGTCTTCATTTGAACTGAAATGCTTTAAAAAAAAAAAGGGGGATAAACTAATGGGTTCATTTTGGGTAGTTCTTTAAAGTCAGCATGAACCTTGTTAATTATCCTGCCATGCTATGGACATTAATTTGTGAAAGAAAGTTTCATGTTGAGTTACTGTTAGTGTTTTGTTTGTAAGAGTTCACAAATGTTTGTGTCAGGGTTATCATCATTAACTTAAACTACAAAAAAAATATGTTCATCGCCCAGCCATCGACGGACGCTTTCCTCTCCCTGATTCTGAGAACGTGTCAAGACAAGATGTGTATGAGGGCGTTATGAAATCATAGAGTAGGTTTAGAAGCGCTCGTACTATTAAACTTGCACATAACTTCATCTCACAAAGGAAGAGCCTTCATTGAGGAACTTTCTTTGATCTTGTGAGATGTGCTGTCAAAACTTACTGTAATTTTTTAAGGGCTTAAAACTTCCTTTTGCAAAACTTTGTGAGCCCAGATTACAATACGTTGACTTCTTCACAATAAGAGAACAGAAACAAAAAGAAAAGAACCTTGGTGCCTGATAAGACTTAACAAGCTGTCATCACACAGTGTCTTAAAATAATACTTCTGCACCAAGCATTACAATATTGTACTGACAGATAAAAATAGAGCATGACAACATTTCAAAGCCTACAATGACTGATAATGATTGTCTCTAGTGCAACCTCTGAGTTAAATATTATAGGTTATGAAACACTTAATTTTTAAGTGATGAATGTCTCTGTGTTGTAGTCTTAAGCTACAGTGAAAAGAAACTTGAGTTGATAAATGTGAGTGGAAATAAAAGCCATTGTGTCGATGCATTCAAGTATGAAAAGCTGCTTTTTCAAAGTCTGTTTCCTCATGTAGGCTCCGGGATTTATGGACTCCCATGATCAATGACAAAAAAGAGGTTTCAGAAGCATATTTACTGTTCTGGAATAGAAATGCAATACTACAGCTCTAGTCTCAAATTCTTTTTTTTTGTTGTTTCCTGTTACTGATTTAGCACTGTTGCATCAATGCAAATGCCTGTCTGTCTGTCTTCATTTGAACTGAAATGCTTTAAAAAAAAAAAGGTGGATAAACTAATGGGTTCATTTTGGGTAGTTTTTTAAAGTAAGCATGAACCTTGTTAATTATCCTGCCATGCTATGGACATTAATTTGTGAAAGAAAGTTTCATGTTGAGTTACTGTTAGTGTTTTGTTTGTAAGAGTTCACAAATGTTTGTGTCAGGGTTATCATCATTAACTTAAACTACAAAAAAAATATGTTCATCGTTACTTGAAACAAAATAAACTTTAGCTGAAATAAAATATAATATCAAAAACTTTACCTTATTTTATTTCAGCAAGTTGCCAAGACAGCATTTCTAATTTTTGTTTAAAGTACTAAAATAAACTAATAACTAAAACTTAATAAAAACTGTATAGACATGTTATAAAAAAAACAAAAACACAACAAAATTACTACAATTTTAAGATTAAAATTAAAAGCATGTAAATTTGTTTCCGTCACAGGATTCACGTCAATTTTTAAAGAAAGAAAGTTATTTAATAACAAATCAATAAAAGGTTATTTAAAGCTTTTTATTCAACAATTCTGAGATTTTTCTTGCAATTCCAAGTTTATTTCTCGCCATTCTGTTTTTTTCCTCTTAATTCCAAGTTTATCTCTCACAATAAATTTTTTTATGCCATTGAGTAAAAAAAATAAAAAGGTAATTGCAACTTTTTATCTCACAAGTCCTTTTATGTCAGTTAGAATCTCACAATTCAGACTTTTTATAAACTTAATTTTGTTAGAACTGTGAGATAAAAAGTTGCAATTACTTTTTTAGTTTTTATATTCCATGGCCAAAAAAAAAAACGTACAACAGAATTGTGTGAGAGAAACTCTAAATTCAGAGAAAGAAAAAAAAGGGAATTGTGAGATATAAACTCAAAATTATAAGAAAAACACTATAGCAGTATATGATTGATAATGAGATAAGAGTGCTTTGTGTTTGTCCATCACAGACCCTCGTTCAGCTCTCAGTATGTCCGATGGGGACTATGATTATCTCATCAAGTTCCTCGCGCTGGGGGACTCTGGGGTGGGAAAGACCAGCTTCCTATATCAGTACACAGACGGCAAATTCAACTCCAAATTCATCACCACAGTGGGAATAGACTTCAGAGAAAAACGAGTGGTGAGTGGTTTTAATACTGGCACTGTTCATGAATTGTATTGATCTTTTCCATTCAGCAGAAATCCATGCATTGGTTTTTATATGCTGACATTTTAAACTGTTTATTAATGAGTGTTCAACTGTGCTGGAGTATTTATAGTGCTATGCAAGGGCGCTGTTCTCACAGTCTTGGTTCAGATGTTTCCTGCTTGATTTGTAATGGAGGTTTATTGTTGTGGAGTCCCTCTCGGGGTTTACCGGACTGTAAAATCCCATGGTCCTGTTCAGCTTAGTTTGTAACTGCACATGGAAACTTGCCCAGAGGTCAAGAGCAGTCATTCATGTGTAGATCACAGCCTCAGATGCAGGGAGATATACACACGTTTGTCTGAACATGGTCATGAATACTAGATGCAGGAAAAACACATGCAGAACGCTGCGTCCCTGTGAAAGCAAACAGACACGCAGGAGGTAATTATGCTTTTCCTGAATGCAATTTGATGCCTAAGACTGCTTAATTTGTTGGAAACACGCTTCAGCAAGAGACAGTCGACATAAAGCACATAATACACACCTTACAATACCTCTGATAGACGATAGGACGATTGATAGAACAATAGATAGAACGATAGATGGATGTATGGAGAGAGATTCAGATAGATATTCAGGTAGACCGATAGATAGATATTCAGATATTCGGATAGATATTCAGATAGATAGATAGATGGGTAGATATTCAGATAGATAGACAGGTAGATATTCAGATAGACGGATAGATATTCAGATAGACGGATAGATATTCAGATAGATAGACAGGTAGATGTCGACATAAAGCACATAATACACACCTTACAATACCTCTGATAGACGATAGGACGATTGATAGAACAATAGATAGAACAATAGATGGATGTATGGAGAGAGATTCAGATAGATATTCAGGTAGACCGATGGATAGATATTCAGATAGACAGGTAGATAGACAGACGGATAGGTAGATATTCAGATAGATGGATGGATAGATATTCAGATAGACGGATGGATAGATATTCAGATAGACGGATAGACAGATAGATAGATAGACGGATGGATAGATATTCAGATAGACGGATGGATATTCAGATAGACGGATAGATATTCAGATAGATAGACAGATAGACGGATGGATAGATATTCAGATAGACGGATGGATAGATATTCAGATAGACGGATGGATAGATATTCAGATAGACGGATGGATAGATATTCAGATAGACGGATGGATAGATATTCAGACAGACGGATAGATAGACGGATAAATAGATATTCAGACAGACGGATAGATATTTATATAGATAGACGGATAGATAGACGGATGGATAGATATTCAGATAGATAGATAGACGGATAGATAGATATTCAGACAGACGGATAGATAGAGATAGATATTTATATAGATAGACGGATAGATAGACAAATAGTTTTGATGGTGTATAATATGTTTTGCTAATAAAATGTTTGCATATTTGTAGATCAATACATATTAAATATCTGCACTGTACTTATTTATTAGTTCTGATTAGAACAAATAATAAACATGATTTACCGATCAGTATTATTAACTTATAATTTAAGTATATTAAAAATCAAGTACTTTTGTACTTTCAAATTGTAATATTTGTAAAATTCATAAAATGTGTGCGTATACCGTTACTGGAGTAATATTTTATCAGGGTATCTGTACTTTCACTCAGTTTGTTGATTTGTGTACTCCGTCTCACACTGAATACTGTATAGTAATAACCGTTCTCATGGTAACAAAAACTGACTGAACATTTGCTTTGAGGAAACCGCATTGGCAGGTAGAGTTACGGAAGTGTGTGTGTGTTTTAGGGGAAAGATGAATGCAGGATCATGTGGCCTTACAGAGCAGGGATCCCTCCTTAAGAACAAACACTTGAGCACTCAAGACATCAAACAAACGCTGATGTTTTAGAGCCACACAATCAGGAGTCGCAGCGCTGATGAGACACTTCCCGCTCTGTCATCAAGTGTGCGTTACACGGCTGTGTTTGACTGTGTGAAAAGTAAACCAAACCAAACCACTCCAGCCAATACCTTAGCAACCGCATAGCAACACCCTGGCAACCACCACAACAGTGTAACATTGTGGCGGCTCGTTTTGCACGGGCAAACCTCACGCTGCCTGCAGAGGATGGCAGGATATTCATTACACTCTAATGCAGTGTACAGAGTCTCAGAAATGTCTGCTTCTGTCCTCTAAGGTGTACAAATCCAGCGGTCCTGATGGGACGGTCGGGAGAGGACAGAGGATTCACATCCAGCTGTGGGACACGGCCGGTCAGGAGAGGTCAGACGCAGACCAGCACTGCTTTATAACATGCCGAGATGAGTCTGAGAGGTTTGGTGTGATGGTTTTTCTGTCTTCTCCTCTGAATGCAGGTTTCGGAGTTTGACCACTGCGTTCTTCAGGGACGCCATGGGCTTCCTGTTGCTCTTTGACCTCACGAATGAGCAGAGCTTCCTTAATGTGCGGAACTGGATGAGTAAGTCCAGACTCACCGGATAAGTGTGCACCCCGCAGACCTAGTTTTGTTTTAATACAACTACTATTCATTATTAGAGTGTCTCTGTTTCCACATTTAATGAGCAGCTACTTTCATTTTCTTCAGAAATTAAGTGTTTGTTTGTTCTTGGCACAAATTTTCCTCCCACAAATTATTTTTGTATTCATTTAATTTTTAGCTTAGTGGTTTCCCATATAATAATAATAATAATCATTCTTATTTTATATTACATTTTATTTTTAATTAGCAGGTTACCCGTCTTCTACTACTAGAACTAAAACAGAATGAAAATATTTTTAATATGCATTATTAATTTTATCTTTACCTAGCAGCTTAGAGTATTTGTCCAACTAATGGTAATACTAATACTAATAATATTTAGTTATTTTTTATTTAATATTATTTGTAATTAATTTTTATTTTTAAAGCAGCTTAGAGTGGTTGCCTATCTAATAATAATAAAATGGTTTTAAAATAATAATTATTTAATATTAATTTTTATTAATAGTGTTTTTAACTATCGCCTTAGAGTGGTTGCCCATATAATAATAATTATTTTTTTATATTATTTATATTACATTTTATTTTTAACTAGCAGGTTCTACTACTACTAGAACTAAAGCAAAATGAAAATATTTTTAATATGTATTTTCTTAAATGAATTTAATCTTTACCTAGCAGCTTAGAGTATTTGTCCAACTACTACTACTGCTAATAATCTTTACTTATTTTTAATTTAATATTATTTGTAATTAATTTTTATTTTAACTAGCAACTTAGAGTGGTTGCCTAATCTACTGCTACTGCTAGAAAAAAAAAGTAAATTTTTTTTTATTAATTAAATTTTTACCTAGCAGCTTGGAGTGATTGCCCAAATACTACTACTACTACTAATAATACATGAAATATTTAATATTATTTTTATTCATTTTGTGTGTAACTAGCAGTTTAGAGTGGTTGTCTATCTAAAAAATGAATTAATAATAATAATAATTAAATTACATAAAAAAAGTATTAATAAATAAATTTAATGCATTTTTTTTTACTAAGCAGTTTGGAGTGATTGCCCAGCTAAAAAATAATATTAACAACAAAATAATAAATAGTTATTATTAATAGATAGACCACTCTACAGTAAGCTGCTTGTTGTTGTTGTTGCATTATAATGAATCATTTTTTAAATAATAATATTTAATGGTTAATTGCTGTGATGTCTCGTGCAGGTCAGCTGCAGACGCATGCGTACTGCGAGAATCCTGACGTCGTCTTGTGCGGAAACAAATCAGACCTGGAGGACCAGCGCGCGGTGAAAACGGAGAACGCACGAGAACTGGCCGAGAAATATGGGTGAGAAACTAAACTCGTCCTGTGTCTGTGTCTGAATGGGACCTCGACTGCCTCGAAAATCAATGCACCTCAGGACAGAAATGCCTCACTATCCATTCCACTCGGTTGTTTGAGCAGCTTATTCCAAGGTAGTTGTGATGTGATCACATGACTTAGCTAATTAGATTAATTAGTGCTGATATTAAAACAGATATGCACACAGGTGAGGGGGGGATTCCTTTTAAAGACATTTGCTTTACATGCTAATTTCGAAGGTAATTTTTTATATTTTTTATTACCTTGCATGTCCAAAACTGTAATTTTTTTCAAACAAACAAACATTTTTTTAAGCTTATTGTAACATTTAGCAAAAATCAAGATTAAATATATATTGGGTCAAAATCCCATGTTTTAAACGATGAAGTGCTATGCAGGCTATTGAAGACAATATTGGCTGATTAGATGGAAACGTTAACCTAAAATGTAATTCCCCCCCCCCTCTCTCTTCACCATTCCCACATCTGACCTCAAAACATAAAATATTACCCTTTTCTGACATAGATTTTGAATGAAAGAGTTCTCATTGGATCTAAGCAAATCTCACAGGTGAGCTATTTTGATCTCAAAAGGTGAGTTGTCACTGAAAGGTGAGGAGTTTGCATCTATGTAAAATCTATCAGTATATTTACACGTGATCGAGTTGTAGTGTAATGTCACATGTGAGGCGAGTCGTTTCTGGATGCGAGCGACTCTGAGGATGTTTGTTTTGAGGGCTGTGTCTGTAGCGTGTTTGCCTAAGATGAGGGCAGCTCTCGTTAAATGTGACTCGTTAAGATGGCGGTGTACTGAAAGGCTAATATTGACTGTGTTCATGCGAGTCAAGCACTCAAGTCTTTTGAGAAGGTTTCTATCTCATGAATACTTCAGTATGATTACGTGGAAATTCTTTGCTCGAATCATATGAATGGTGCTCCTATCAAGCAGATCGACTGTTAAAATATTTGATGACTTTTTTAATTTTATTGTCGGTAATGTTGACTGCGTTTGGTTCTAGTTCTCGTCAGCATTCAGTGAGTTTGCTGTGACGCATCTGTTGAGCGTCGTTCATATTCTATTGACTGATCCTCACATCTAAACTCATCCAGGTGTGTCTTTCAGATCCCAATCCTAGTGAGCTGCCTATGTAGGCAGGATTTTAAGGGCTCATTAACACGCTCTCAGTGCAAAAGCTGTTCTGAAAATTAGGCAGCAGAACGATGCTGTTCTATCACATGCATCCTTCATAGACAAGACAATCCCACAATGCATTTAAAAAAAATCCCTCTTAGATCATGAAATTGCGTAATAATATACTTTACTTAGTTTGAGGACTAAATGAAATGCATCAATAAAAGTGTTGGAGTAGTGGTTTGTGCTCTAATCCATTTTATTTTTTGTCTTTTCGCAGTGTCCCATACTTCGAGACGAGTGCTGCGAGCGGCGAGAATGTGAGCTGTGCCGTGGAGGTTCTGCTGGATCTGATCATGAAGCGCATGGAGAGATGTGTGGACAAATCCTGGATCCCCGACGGGATGGTTCACAGCAACGGCCACAGCACCAGCAACCTGGCAGAGCCCCCAATCCTAGTGAGCTGCCTATGTAGGCAGGATTTTAAGGGCTCATTAACACGCTCTCAGTGCAAAAGCTGTTCTGAAAATTAGGCAGCAACGATGCTGTGTGTTCTATCACATGCATCCTTCATAGACAAGACAATCCCACAATGCATTTAAAAAAAATCCCTCTTAGATCATGATAATGCGTAATAATATACTTTACTTAGTTTGAGGACTAAATGAAATGCATCAATAAAAGTGTTGGAGTAGTGGTTTGTGCTCTAATCCATTTTATTTTTTGTCTTTTCGCAGTGTCCCATACTTCGAGACGAGTGCTGCGAGCGGCGAGAATGTGAGCTGTGCCGTGGAGGTTCTGCTGGATCTGATCATGAAGCGCATGGAGAGATGTGTGGACAAATCCTGGATCCCCGACGGGATGGTTCGCAGCAACGGCCACAGCACCAGCAACCTGGCAGAGCCGCGTGACGCCGAGCAGAGCAAGTGCGGCTGCTAATGCCGTAAGAATCCTTCCAGCCGCGGCTCTCTGATCCTCTTCATTAGCACTAGCATACATTACGGTTGAGTTGAGCGGATGTCGAGGATGAGAGACCCTGCGCTGCGTTAAAGCAGGGGATGCCGCATCCTCACTTGTTTTTTTCTCAGAATGGATGGACTAAAGCCTCCTAGATTCAAGTCTTCACGTTTTGAGAGCACTTTACACCAAATCCTGCGTTCAGAAGCCTTAATGCATCAGATGAGATGTGTTTCAAGGGCTCGAATCCTCTCACTGTGTGTTTGACTTTTAGTGCCCATCTGCTGGTAAAACTAGACGTGCATCAGTGCATTTCTCTGATCCTGACAGTTTTGTTGATTTTCTAAATGAAAACCCCACATTCAATCACTGAAAATCTGAAAAAAATGCATGTTAAAAAACAGATATTATTTAAAATATTTGTTTAAAATATATATTTATATAATGCACAACCTGTATCACTTTTTTTTTTTTAAATTACAAAAATGAAGAAAAGCATAATATGGACTTGAAATGGTGTCATGGTTAGTAATGATGAGAGAATTGTCAGATACATATTTTACTCACATATATATATATACACACGCATATATATACACACACACACACACATATATATATATATATATATATATACACACACACACTCTCTCTCTCACACACACACACACACACACACTCTCTCTCTCTCTCTCACACACACACACACACAAACTCTCTCACACACACACAAACTCTCTCTCACACACACTCACATATATATATATATATACACACACACGCATATATATATATATGCATGCATGTATGTATATATGTGTGTATATATATATGATATAAATTAAAAAAAAATTTTTTTTACATCAATCCCCACCTTCTTTGTCACTTAAAAAAAAAGTACATTAAGAAAAGCATCATATGGACTTGAAATGGCATGAAGGTTAGTAATGATGAGAATTGTAATTTTTTTGGTGATCTATTCCTGTAATCATTTGTGCTGTTGTCCCTCTTTAGTGGACTGATGGATGTGTGTATATATATGATATAAATAAAAAAATTTTTTTTTTACATCAATCCCCACCTTCTTTGTCACTTAAAAAAAAGTACATTAAGAAAAGCATCATATGGACTTGAAATGGCATGAAGGTTAGTAATGATGAGAATTGTAATTTTTTTGGTGATCTGTTCCTGTAATCATTTGTGCTGTTGTCCCTCTTTAGTGGACTGATGGTGAATAACGCTCACTTCTATGCCACTTTTTAACAAGTTTGAACACTTTTAAATGTGTTACTATGTTATCTGTAGTCATGTAGATGTCAGAGACCAATTAAATAAGTATTTAGCTGTTACTGTATTCATTTGTAGGTTAGTGGTTGATTTGTGTGGACATTCACCAGTTGCTGTTGGTTGTGGTTTTTCTGTATTTCTGGTCGCTGCTTGATGTAGGGTTCCTGCCATTTCATTTCATTACGGGATTTAGAGTGAGGTTTAGATGAAATATCCACATCTATGCTGTCAATTGTGGTTACATTTTTCCAAAATGGTGCAAGTAGATGCCTTCATTTCCTCTCTTTTACAGTCCCTCCATTTCACAAAAGCAAAGCAAACAAAAGCTGAGTGAATGACACAGTTTTGTTGATTTTCTAAATGAAAACCCCACATTCAATCACTGAAAATCTGAAAAAAATGCATGTTAAAAAACAGATATTATTTAAAATATTTGTTTAAAATATATATTTATATAATGCACAACCTGTATCACTTTTTTTTTTTTAAATTACAAAAATGAAGAAAAGCATAATATGGACTTGAAATGGTGTCATGGTTAGTAATGATGAGAGAATTGTCAGATACATATTTGTTGGGAAAAAATAAATAAATAATATATATAATGTGTGTATATATATATATATATATATATATATATAGTGAATAACGCTCACTTCTATGCCACTTTTTAACAAGTTTGAACACTTTTAAATGTGTTACTATGTTATCTGTAGTCATGTAGATGTCAGAGACCAATTAAATAAGTATTTAGCTGTTACTGTATTCATTTGTAGGTTAGTGGTTGATTTGTGTGGACATTCACCAGTTGCTGTTGGTTGTGGTTTTTCTGTATTTCTGGTCGCTGCTTGATGTAGGGTTCCTGCCATTTCATTTCATTACGGGATTTAGAGTGAGGTTTAGATGAAATATCCACATCTATGCTGTCAATTGTGGTTACATTTTTCCAAAATGGTGCAAGTAGATGCCTTCATTTCCTCTCTTTTACAGTCCCTCCATTTCACAAAAGCAAAGCAAACAAAAGCTGAGTGAATGTTTGTAATCTGTGGACATTTCCAAAGTGCTTTATTCTGCTGTAGTGCCTGTAACACTGTATCAGTGCCAAACACTGTCTTTTGTGCCAAATACTGAAACTCTATTCGAAAAAAATAAATATATTTTATTATTTATTATGATGTTGTCATATGCACGTTTTAAGCTGTGTGTTGAAATGCTGATGAATTTTACAGATTGTTTGGGCTGATTTCGGTCCTTTGTAATGAATATACTGAAAAGATTATACATTGTAGTGTACAAAAAACCATGCAGAGGGGGATTTCTCTTTACGAGCTGTGCCCCCTGGAGGAAACAAACACCTACAGACCTCCTTTCCTGCTTGTCAGTGTAAAAAAGGTTATTCCAGTTAAGATATTTCTGCATGCTTATTTCAACTTTTCACACACTCTCACTTGCCTTTTAGACAAGCATTTTACAGTGTAATATAATATAAATATAAACAGTGTAATAATATTGTAGCTCTGACTTCCATTCACATTGGTTCTACATTTTGGAGAATAGTAGAGACAGTATAAGGACTACATTTATGGTACTTTTTGTCCTTTATGGAGCTTGACGGTGTGGTTATTTACTCGTGTTCATTAGTAAATCATTTTTATAATATTCCTTTAACATCTCTGACTCGATCTCTGTGTCGTGATGTCTGCATGCATATAATAAAGAGACTGAATACAACAGTGCTCAGATCATTTATTGTAATAATACAGACATTACAAGTAAATAATGAATGTGAACATGTACAGTAACTTTATTTTACTGTATTATGTATCACCCAGTACATTAATAATCACTCAAATAAAAATGACAGAATTAAAATCACCTTAAGCATCTAACCTATACATAAAAATATATAAACCTAGTTTAAATTATTATTTTTATTATTATTGTAAAACAAGAAAATAATCTTTTTCAATCGATGACTAATTGACTAAAACAAAATGTCCTGATGTGTCGTCGCACACACTGTTCGATGCTGATGTAACTTGACGTTCCAGCCCAACACCTTTAATAAACAAAAGTCTTAAAATCATTTTGCAATCAATATGTACTTCGTTGTTAGTCTTTGTAATTCTTTCAAGTCACATCCTACATTTTTTCTATTAAAATTCTGTTTCTCTTGGAATTATGTAACGTTAAAGAAAGTCCAATTGTGAATGGCATGTTATGTCGAGATTCTGAATGCGACTCATAATGTCAGTCTTACCCTCGAGATCATCTTTGAGCTGTTGTGCCACTGCCCTCAGTTCCTTCACAACATGTGGAAACTCTTCCTCAATCTCCTCAAAATGTTTTATTGACAGGGCGAAAAGGCTGCAGGCGGCCAGAGCAGAAACTGTGGCCAGCTGCCTTCCACCAAACAAGAAGCTGATCTCTGCAGAAACACACAACATCTTAAAACACTGAGTATGAGGCTGCTTGCACCATATGTGACCACCATTTGGTTAGAACTGTAGACCTTGGTATCTCTCAATAATAAGATCCCCTTTGAACTAATCACTGGCTCTGGGTCCAAATTTACCTACTAGCCTTCTCTACAGCAGGCGAAAAGAGTTGTATGTCTGAAATAATAGTATTAAAATATAAATATATGTGAGCCTGGAGCACAAAAGCAGTGTTGAGTCGCTGGGGTATATTTGTAGCAATAGCCAACAATACATTGTATGGGTCACAATTATACATTTTTCTTTTATGCCAAAAATCATTAGTATATTAAGTAAAGATCATGTTCCATGAAGATATTTTGTACATTTCCTATTGTAAATATATCAAAACTTAATTTTTGATTAGTAATATGCATGGCTAAGAACTTCATTTGGACAACTTTAAAGATGATTTTCTCAATATTTAGATTTTTTTGCACCCTCAGATTCCAGATTTTCAAATAGTTGTATCTCAGCCAAATATTGTCCGATCCTAACAAACCATACATCAATGGAAAGCTTATTTATTCAGCTTTCAGATGATGTATAAATCTCAATATTGAAAAATTGACCTTTATGACTGGTTTTGTGGTCCAGGGTCATAAATAGACTTGTCATAGAACTCTCTCTTTTGTTGGATTTGATTGCTTCTATTGTCATCATTTGTACGTCGCTTTGGATAAAAGCATCTGCTAAATGACTAAATGTAAATATATATATATATATATAACTACCCAAATGACCTACAACTTTCAGAGAGAAACTGTTGCACGCATATGGTGGACACTTCACGACATAGTGGATGTACTCTTTTTAATCCCTAATACACACACACTACTATATCGAATGGACACAAAATAATTACTTGTTCTTTTTGGACGCAGCCTAGATTTGTCAGGTTAATGGCATCAAAAGAAAGAAGAACGGTTTTGTTTGTAAGTGTGATTACTAATCATGAGTCAACTTCTGATCATCATTATATGAATTATTGGATGTTTTTCCACACAACAGTCTAATATGGTTCTGTTATCTCTTTCAGACAAAAGCATCCCTAAACGGCACATCAAACAGTCATGGTTCAAGACCAGAACTGCAATGAGGACCAGGCTTGACTTCTCGTCTGAATCAGGCTACAGCAGGTTTCACCTCCAAAGTGGTCTCCATCGCACAGCTCCATTTGGAAAAACTGGTTCTTCACGAGCACACGTCCATGCTCGATGAAGAACATGTGGGCAGCTTTAGCATCCTGATGAAGGATGATGTCTTCTGCTTGGAATAACTCGTACTCCAACTTCACCAAGATTGCGTCGGTGAATTCTCTGTCATGCTTTATGAGCATGGAGCCTTTGCTCAGCAGGTTGGGACACATATCTGCCATAATATCCTTTGAAAGAGAAAACATAGCACTATTGAAATGAGTTATACATAAAAACAGATTACTTTGTTCTAATTCTTCGTGGTTGGCTCCAGTGTGAGCGTGACACTGAGGTACGTGTAATGTTATCTGCACAGACCGTCGCTTATTTCTATGTTCATATGAATGAATTAGAAACCTTTCTCAGCCGTTTTGACACCAGATCGAGGATGTTCTTCTTGTCATACTGCCACTTGTACTGGGCAGTGGTGCGCTGGCGCAGAGACCTGGGCAGCTTCT